ACCCCCCTGGCTTTCTAAACAACTTCTCCGAGGTGGCTCCTCAACACCAGGACATTCATTTGGGGTTGGAGGTGTTTCCTTCACCACCAGGGTGTTCATTTGGGGTTGAGGGTGTTTCCTTCTCCACCAGGGTGTTATTTTGGGGTTGAAGGTAGTTCCTTCTCCACCAGGGTGTTATTTTGGGGTGAAAGGTGGTCTCCTCACCACCAGGGTGTTCATTTGGGGTTCCAGCATCTCCTGACCCCTCTCAGCCAGGGCGTTATCTCGGTCACATCCCTGGGACGAGGTGGGGGGTGGGATGATCTCCTGCTGCACCGCCAGGCCAGGCCAGGGGGTGTCCCCAGCACGTCCCCAGAATGTCCCCACGTCCCCTGCTCCTCCCCCCCCCCCCCCCCCCCCCCTCCCCCCCCCCCCCCCCCCCCCCCCCCCCCCCCCCCCCCAGGCTTCATCGACTTCATCGTGGAGCCCACCTTCTCGGTGCTGAGCGACGTGGCCGAGAAGATGCTGACGCCGCTGGCCGAGGACGGCGCCAAGGCCAACAAGGGCAACAACCCCTCTGCCCCCCAGCAGGCCAGGTGGGCTCCCCCACGGGGGGGAGGGTGTGGCATGGGGGGGTCACCCAGGCAATTTTGGGGGGGCCCTGGAGCCAGCCCTGCCCCCCCTGTCCCCAGCTCCCAGTGGAGGCAGCAGTCCCTGGACGAGCAGCTGGAGCTCGGGGACGTCAAGGCCGACCTGGCCTCGTTCCGCTCCACCTGGACCAGGCACATCCAGGAGAACAAGCAGAAGTGGAAGGAGAGGGCGGCCAGCGGTAGGTGACGGCCACCAGGGCCACCAAGGGCCACCAGGGGCCACCAGAGGCCACCAGAGGCCACCAGCAGGGAGGCTGTGGCAGCATCAGCTCGGCCCCAGGAAAAGCTTCTTCCCCCCACAGGGTGGGTGGGTGAGCAAGGCTGAGCTCTGGGAGGGGTTTGGGAGGTACAGAGGGGGGGGTTTGGGGTGTCCTGGTGGGTTCCTTCCCCCCAGGATGTCCCTGGCTCCGTGTCCCCCCCCCCCCCCCTCCAGGCATCACCAACCAGGCGTCCATCGAGGAGCTGTCGCCGTGTGAGGACCCCCCGGCCCCCCCCCACAGGGAGAACGGGGACGTGGAATAACCCCGGGAGGAGCGAGGTGGGCACGGGGAGGGGTGGGGGGGGGAAAGGAAGGGGTGGTGGCATCGCCGTGGTGACTGTCCCCTCCCCACCCCCAGGTCCTGGTCCAGCTGAGTGGCACCGTCTCGTCCCGAGTCTTCGACGTCATCGAGTTCAGCACCATCTGCAGGGCAGGAGCCCCCCCCGGGGGTGGGCAGGGGGTGGGCAGGGACCGGTGCCACCCCCTGTGCCAGGGATTGGTGTCACCCCCTGTGCCAGGAGCCCCACCCGGGGGTGGGCAGGGGGTGGGCAAGGATCGGTGCCAACCAAACCAGTGCCAACCACGCCTGTGCCCTCCCCCCCCCTCCACCCCGGGGGCAGGATCGGTGCCAACCACACCAGAAGCCCCCCCCCCCAGTGTCACCCCCGGGTCACCAAGTGCCCCCCAACCCCGGTCCTGTCACTGCCACTCCGGGGGGGGCTGCCCTGGCCTCTCCCCCCGGCCCGGGATGGGTCCTTTTGGGGGGTTTTAAAAACGTTTCTCGCCCCCCTCGCCCCCCCCCGCCGGGCACTGGGGAGGGGCTGGCACAGGGAGGGTGGCCCTGGGGACAGCGAGGGCTGGGGGGGCACAGCAGTGCCAGCCCCGGCTCTGGGGGGATTCCTTCCCTGGGCATCCCAAATCCTGCTGGGCACCCGGAGCATCCTTTGGGATCCCGGGATTCCTTCCCTGGGCATCCCAAACCCTGCTGGGCACCCGGAGCATCCTTTGGGATCCTGCGGAGCATCCCGGATCCGTCTCCCCTCGGGAATCCTCTGGCACCCTCCTGGAATTCCCGGAATTCCCGGTCCCCTCCGGCTCCAGCCCTTCCCATCCCCCCCCACCCCGTGTTTGCACCTCCCCCCTCCTCGTGTCCCCAACGTGTCCCCAAAGTGTCCCTGTCACCGCTGGCAGAGCTCCCACCTCGCCCCTCCCCCCGCATGTGTGTCCTCCCCCCCTCCCCCCCCCACGCGCCGCCGCTAAC